TGTACCGAACTGTTAAAGTAATAAACGAAACGAAATAGTAACGTACAATATAGTTTATTTTCGTACACTGCTTGCAACAATTCTTAACCAAGAAATGTTTGTGAAAAATTTTTGGAAAATAGGCGTGGCACCGCCCACTTATGATCACATATATGTATCTCGGTAACCATTCTACCAATTTGTACCAAACTCGGTATGGTTATTGTGCTTGCCACATAAAAGCAAAACGTTGAAAATTATTGAAACCGGACTAAAATTGAGGCCGCTTTTCATATGACGGTAAATTTCAGAACTGCTTGAAACTTCAAAATTTCGAAATTTAAGGACTCTAATTTACTCACAATTGATACGCCCCAAGCTTACCATGTAGCGGTAGCTTTCGGAAAGGTGAAAGTCATATATTAACTTTAAGACTTTCTTACTTGTTTTTTATGTGTGTTACCGCATAACTTGGACCACGTCAACTGATTTCGATAATTCTTTTTGCATCGGAAAGGTAGTGGTTTAGATCCGATCATTGGATCATATATATGAGAATTGAAGTCGGGTTTGTTTTTTGCTTAAAAATTACTTGTTATAAAAAAATATCAAACAAATTTAAGTTTGAAAAACATTGTAAATATTAAAAACGAAACACCATTCATCCATTTCTGACCGCCACTGCACATACATACATAAGTGAAAATGTTCCGCTCTAAAACAAATTTTTCATAAATCAATCAAAATAGGCAAACACATTTATTCTAGCAACTTAATAAGTGAAGCACAAACATTTTAATAATCGAATTAGATTCCAACAAAATCTTAAAAAAGGAATCTTACGCTTTGTTATGGGTCTTCTCGAATGTCATTTTTTGAAAACAATGTTTTGAAGCACCTTAAACATGCTAGCAATTCCTTCCAATGAATATTAGGTCTGCAATTTCGTACGATTTCTTTAACAGTGGAGCTGTTAAAACAATACAAGCGGATAAATTGTTATATTAATAGTACAATAAAATCCCAGATTTTCAATGTTAAAGAACTGCATTTGATAATTTTATTTCTGAAATTAAAACACTTTCGTTTTTGTTCCATATTAAAAAATACTAATTTTATTTTGTTGCTACGGTTTATTGTATTCTGTTTCCGAATCTCGTTAGGCCCAATATTTTCAAAAATGATTGTATGTATTTTCTAATCGCGCTGATCAAGTTTTTATAATTTGCTTAGCAAATTATATATTCCAATAATTTTTTTAATACAAATTATTTTCCTTTTTACTTTTTTAATTACAAAACTTAATTTGCATGTCGTAATGTAACAAAAAGAATATGCTTTTCGAATAAATCATCCTTATGCAGTTCTTAAAATTACCTTCTTTCAATTAAAAATATGCATTTACGGCTTTCATTGCTCAAAGGGTTCTCCGCACATACAAATGTAGGTAAGATCATTTGTTTTATATTTATTTTTTATATTATTTTCATTTAAAATAGAAAAAATTTAGCAGAGACTGATCGATGATATTAACTTGTCCATACGCACAATATTTCTTAAAATCCCTCCTTAGCCAATGCATACATAATAATGTATGTACATCCAGAAGAGGAAGGAAAATGGCTGTGTTTTGTTACTATTACTCCATTTAAGTTAAACAGCTTATTGCTCCTAATATGTTGTTTTTTCTGTTGCTGGTATCATCTGTATTAGCTTTTTTAAAAGGCAGTAACGGCAACCACATTTCAGGCCTTGGTCTCCACTGCCGGTGTGGATTCCACCTTTGATGCAGAGGCAGCAGCGTCCGAGCCAGCTGAAGTGGTACCTCCCTTCTTCTTAGCACCACCCTTACCCTTCTTGCTTGGCTGTAAAGGTGTTGCGACAAGTTCCTACAAAACAAATATAAACTTGTTTCAAAAATATTTAAAACCCAAACGTATTTCATTACTTTCAATTCTGGCTGGGCTATGCTATGCTCACTAGTAAAGTAATCCTCCGCGAAAGGAATACCGGTAACCAAATTGACTCCGTTGGGCATGAGCAGTACAGTGTGCTTAAACTGCGCCACATATTCAGCTGAAACATACAAAGTCAAAAGTTAACAAAAGGAAACAGAATACATATCTTTATCAGCTAATAATAATTCAATTCAATGAACTTCATCTTGGAGCTGTCTGCAGGATTAATGGTCAAAATATATCCAACTCTCCCTCACTCACATTGTCACACGTTTCAAATAAGAAGTTACGTTACTAGAGACGGAATTACTATGTAAAGATAATTTCATTATTTTCGATAGTTAAAACGATTGTTACAGTTATACATTTTACTTAAAGTTTAAATAAATACATTAAGAAAATATATAACTATATATTTTTCTGGCAAGGTGTCTGGCCGTAAACGAAACCGAAATCCGTCCCCGGAATTAATCCTTGCTTAGAAGCTATGTTATTAACTTTTACATGACTTACTTGGTTTCTCGTAGAGAACTTGGAAAGGCTCAATCATCTTGTGGGAAACACATTCAACAACCCCCATACGTGCCTTTGTTTCTTCATCGAAGTGCCTGATATTAAATGGCATATTACCATATTTTGTTTTAACCTGTAGTTAATTGCATTTCAAATTTACTATTCATAGATTTGTTTATTACTATTTCATAATACTATTCTACACCTCTTACCTCCTGCAAAAGGGCACGCGATGCCTTTAATTTCAACATATAATTTTCATCAGTTTTTTTGTATATGGAGACTTTTGTATCCTTTTCACGACCCTTTATTGAAGAAAAAAATATTCATTTTAATATTTTCCTCATATATAAAAGCAACATGTTATTCTTTTAATGTCCTCAGATCTCATAATCTTACAATCTCTGAGCATCAGTCATTCAGTTTTTAACAAGTGTGCCACGTCAAGTAGGAAATGGGAAGTAATCGAATGAGAAATCAATCCATTACTTTCACTTGTTTTCACCAATCGACTTCCTGCTCTCAAGCGCTCTTTTTTAATCATTGGAAATATAAATTATGAAAATTTAAACATAAATATGTATGCTTCAAAGCACTTACAATGCCTTCACCAGTGCTCACTATAACGTCGATAGCATAAACTTCATGTGTCTCGAATGTGCATTTCTCGTGTTCTTTGCGTTGATTTTCATTCGGGTTTTGAATTATAGTTTTTTCGCCATCAATTTTAAATTGTTTCAATTCATGACTAAGCATCCCCTCAATAGGTTTACATTTGAATGATTCGCTAATTTGTTGCACGGCGTCAGTAATCGTGTAATTCTGAGGAAAAAATAAGAATAAGGTTTAGTTTACGCTTTATTGATGACAACATTTATGAAATAGTTTTTCTATAACCTTGCATATAAACAGCCAACAAAAAAAATTCTCATGGTGGGTACCATATAAATTAAAAATCCAAGAGGTGATCCGTTTACTTGCTGATCGTTTAATAGAAAAACACTTCGATTGAAAGCAATTACACACCACCGTATTCAAAATAAAATTGTTATCAGTCGAAAAAAGAGAAATTTTAAAAGCGAAAATTTCACATATTGGACTGAACATTTTTTCTATATGCAAGCGTTGAGATGTATTCTAGTATTAAGGATCTAGAAGACAATCCGTTTACTTGCAAACAATTTTTAAACAAAATTCTGGATTGTTTCTTGGATTTTCTATCAAGTACAAATAAATATTGGCATCATAACGTATTAAAAGTATTGAAAAGATTTGTCAGCAGTCGAAAAAAGAGAAATTAGAATTGAGCAAATTTCTCATGGTAGACTACCATTTTTTTTTCTGCAAGCGTTGAGATGAATGCTTGTATTGCGAAAACAAGAAACATTCCGTTAACTTGCAAATTAGTTAATAACCGTAGGGTAGCTTAAATTTATGTTTGAAGATTATTAGGGGGAAACGCATTTATTTAGCATTGCACCATTGTGGCTCAACATGTTTACTTTTGCAAACATTTCTTTAAGATTTCGATAAATTTTCAAAATCCGAATCAATGCTTGCTATAATTAGTAGCACTAAATACTTAAAATGTATGTACATGTGTACAAATATACTATCATCTGTATATACATATGAATATCACAAATTTACAACACTTACGCTGTTTCCCGCTTTTAATAACCGCAATGCAGCCTGTACAGCCCAGTACGCAGCTAAAACGACATCGGCTTGCCGCCCAGTCACTTTTTTCTCGGTAGAGGATCCAATAACAACAGTATGTGCAGCGACAGCAATAAAACCATCTATATGTGCACCAAGATCTCTATGAAGCAAGAAAATGGTTGGGAGATCGAGAGTTTGCTATTTAAATGCATTAAAATACGAATATATAACCAGCCCTTATATACATACATATGTACATATCGCACACCGTCTTAAAAAAGTCACAATTCAAAATTTAAATTATGCACTAAAAATGTACACGGAGCTTTTATTTACCTTTCAGCAAAAGCTGGAGAAAATTTTGGTTATTTATTAAAGAAAAAACTAATGTAAAGTCTCCCTTGCCCATATGATTAGCATGTGGTACGAAATAGTTTTTCGCATTTTCTGACGAACGTATTATTTTGAGTTGTGGCTCTTTTGAAGACGGTGTGCGATATGTATATCTTACTTAATGTTGATAATTTCGAATTAGTGACCTAAACAAATTTTATGGGAAATGCCACCTGTATAAAGGCACATAATCACATCAAATCAATATATAAATGGGTTTAAAATCGCACTTACATTTTCACAACATCCCCTTCCTTTAGAGTGTAGTCAGGATCATTCTTTGATGGTGAGAAATGGCATACGCAGTTGTTAACCGACAAACAAGTTGGGAATGCAATACCTTTCTTCAAGTCCTTTTCTTTCTTATATACCTTAAAAGGATATAATATAGTTATAGACCAGTTCCTTTAAAGGCATTAACGTAATATTATTTTCTTTGTTCTCAGATCTCATAATCTTGCAATCTTTGAGCATCAGTATCAGCAATATTGAAAATGCGCTAGACTGACCTTTAAATAAACTAATGACAGTCAGAAGAAATTCATAGAATTTACTGCAGTTTTCGACACAAGTGACACTTCAAACTCTCACGCGCTTGTTTTTAATCATCGAACATATAAGTATTTAACAAAATAGTAGCAAATTTTTTGTTTAATTTCTATGGGTCCATTACTCCAACCGAACGGCAACTCAGCTGAGATCGACCCATTGTTATAGCCATAATGCTACTATATAACATACCAGGTTTTAACGAAAACTCAATCTTACTTTGTTGGTTTCCTCCACGATGAGACTGTCACCCTTATTACAGATATCCCGCACGGATGCATCGGCCACACAGAGATCAATTATAGCTTTCAATGTTTCTGCAAATTCACAAATGAATTAATAATTTTTGTCTATGTATAAATACAAATATTCTAAAGGTGGTTTGCAAACTACTTCGGTACATAAGGGGAATTCTCGAAGTCACGCAATACAAAGCTTTGCCATAAGAAACCCGGTTTTTACCATGAAATCCGTTCACCGTGCAAGGACTTTGCAAGACTTAAAATTCGACATATAGATCTACATATAAGAATGTTTTGAAATGCGTGGCAGTATTATGGTTTGCCCGCTGATAGCTTGTATACATATGTATGTACATTAGTCCTTCAACAGCATTAAAACAAATGTGCGAGATGTATATGTACGTATGTATGTATGTATATAAAAAAAAAATTAAAGTTATAAGAACATGAGCCATGAAAAAGTTCAAAAGATTTGTCTGATCGACGGTGAAATTTTAGATGGTTTTTAGGTTATGTTGAATTAGGAATGTATATGCGCCGCGTGGCTTGCTCTACTTGGTCCATTTTTGAAATTTATTGAACTTCTCAAATAGGTTTTTTATATATACTTTTTTTTTGTCTTTTTAATAAAAATAAAATTATTATTACAAACACGCATTACATTTTTAATTAGATAGACTTTTGTAAATATAAAAATTGAACATGACCAAAAAAAAATACTTACTGTTGGCAATTTCACCGGCCAATTTGTATTTGGTCACCACCAAATCTTCAGCAATAGTTTTCTCTGGTGCTTCTTTCTCAACTTCGGCCATTTTCTCGTAAGATCTAGCTTAGTCCTTTGTGAAACAATTCGGGGGTAAGACCAGAAATCTACTGCTGTTCACACCTAAGCATATAAAACAAATAGCAAATCACTTGCTAGAATTGCTGACGCAAATAATGTTGCAAAACTTTAACAAATAAACTTTATAAAAATGCTTTCTTCAATAATCAAATCACAAAGACCACTTTTTTACACACGTTGCTCTTTTCGCGACGGTGGAATTGTGCAAAAGGAAGGTAAACGATGTGGACACGAAGCATTGGAAATTAGTTCGGGGCTGCCAGCTCGGCACGATTAAAAGATGTGCATGAAAAACCAGTTTTGATTTATATATCATTCTTCGCAAAGCCCTCTTCTATGTCTTCAAATATAAGCTGTGAGGTGTTTATTTTGAAACAGTTTGACCCAGGTGTGCTAAATACATTTTGAGTTTGACATAGAAAAAATCTAATTTAAACAATTATCTGTTTACCTTTTATGATAGAACGTAAATAGATTTACGTGCATTACAAAATGGAAATTTTTAATCGTGATGGCAGCCCCAATTGATTTCCGCGTCGATAAACTGTCATCGAAAAGAGAATAAAAAGAATAATAAAAGCTGTGTTCGTTTTTCTCAAGTTCGTTTGTTTTTGTTAAGCTGTACCTCCACGTCAAGCGTTTCAAGCGATGAGGCCACAGCATGACTCAATAATAGAAAGGTTTTGTAATAAAACACTCTTCTCGCTCCCACACATAAAATCGCTCCTTTACTTGTGCAGAATGTTGCTTACTCTACAGTTTCTAGTGATATTAGTAGTAAAACCAAAAATTCGTCATACTAAATGTAATTTTCTAGAACAAGTGTAGAATAGTGACCGTTTAGCTATAACCCTGCAAAAATCGTTGGACCATGTAGTCTATTTATGGTAAATTGGAGTACTTACAAAAGTGTTCCTCTGTCATGCTGTAGCGGACCAACTCGTGTCTCTGCGCCAGCTTATTGTTTGTTATCCGATCACTGCTCGTGTTTTAACGAAATGTGATTGAAGTTGAGCATTTGAAAGCACATTTGCATGTCTGGCTGTAGCTGAACGTGTAGAGATGCTCGCTGTTAGTTCTTAAGCTCGTCGGCGATTTCAAGCATCCGTTGTTGGTTACCCCAGCAACGAGTACATGTGTGAGTGTCGGGTTGAATGTCGGGTGCTTGAAGCTTGCCCGGCGACACTCAAGCATAAAGCGTCAACACCATTTGCAATAAAATTTCGTAGTGGGCGGACGTAAACATGTCTTCATCGGATGACGATTTTTTGCTACTTGCCACTAAAATCTTTATCTTCCGCGAACTTGCTCATTTTACATATCACAACAAACTAACACACTAATGCTTGTCAACGCTTTGCGCCACTATCAAACAGACCGCTTATCAAGCAGTCGCGTTGATGGAAAATCAAAAATTTTTGATTTTCCACCAACACGAGCCGACAACAAGTACGTGTGACACGACGATCTCCGATTGCCTCGGTTGCTGGGGTAACCAACAACGGATGCTTGAAATCGCCGACGAGCTTTAGCTCCCAGCATGTTCGGGTTCGAATGCCGTCAGAGGCAACATGTAATTTTTTCTTGGTTTTTATTAATTTCGAAAAAGCATTTGAGAAGTGAAGAACAAAAGCGTGAACAAACGAAAAAATAATACAACAATGCCATTGTTGATATGTTGGAGTAGGTTTGTGCTACTCTGAAGTAATGCCGGGATGGAGTATATGGTCCTGCCCTAGGACATCGCAATGTTAATTGGACCATATTTTTTATATGAATTGTGGTTAATTTTGGAGTACTCTTTGGTCCTTAGGGAGTACTCTTTACACGCATGCATGGAGTAGTCGCGATTTTTGCAGGGCTAAAATGAATTTTGATAAACCGTGTGTGTAATCAGCTTGAGCGCAAGTTCTTGATCGTGTAACCCATATAAAACTCCCGTTCAATTGAATACTTGAATCGTGTAAAAGCCGTGTTAGCAAGGAAAACATAAATTTTTTGCCCATATATCGATGCATCGATAAATCGTTAGAATCGCTATAAAAAAAGCAATGCTCGGAAGTCCTGTGACCAAAATGAGATAATTAGCTAAAACCTCGGCGAAACGAAAATACAGCCAATGTTTGCCCATATGGCAAGCAGATCATATGGAGGATCGTTGGCGCGTGTAGCTTTCAAGTGTCTCTCCAATGTAAACTCAAGCAGGACACCGAAATTGTTATCAAGGTGCCAATTGGGAGCTTTTCCACGGCGTGAATACCAACAAAAGCGTAATGGAAGCTCTGCAGACGCGACTTTAGCCCGAAATATTTGGAACAAACTCTTCGGAAAGTATTTATTAGCGACTAATATTCTTAGTTCCGGCATTTTAATGGTTATTGGCGATTTAATTGCGCAAGAGATTGAATACCGCCGTCATAAAATTGAATCAGTTGACTTTGACATCAAACATGACAGATATGATACAAACCGTATTTGGCGAATGTTTATTGTGGGCGCATTACAAGGACCACTTCACCACTATGTTTACAAATGGATGGATCATGTGATGCCTGTGGCGAATATGCGGAATACATTGCAAAAAATATTGATTGACCAAGTGATTATGTCTCCAGCTTGCATTTTGATATTTTTCTACTCTGCTTGTTACCTAGAACAGAGATCAGTCGAAGAGACAAATACGGAACTGTGTGATAAGTTTCCTATTATTTATCTAATGGACTGGACAGTTTGGCCGGTCGCACAATACGTAAATTTTAGATATTTAGATACAAAGTACAGAGTAATGTTCGTAAATGTTTGTACAGCGCTTTATAACATATTCTTGTCCTATATGAAACATGATTTTTAGCTGAATTTCTTTATTTTAACGTATTGTGATACATTATAGTCAAAGTTGTGTCTAATTATCTAATAAAATATTCCCAGTTGGCGCTGTATATACAAGTACATATGAATATACATACATACATACATAAATATAACCATGTTAACAAGGCGCTTTTTGGAAATCATCATGCGAGTTTACACGCAGTTCTAACCACGCTTTTTTTTATCGGGACATACAAATATGGAATGTATTTGTGCTGTAATAAATGCGGCAATGTTACCTATTTTGAAAGAGTATCAAATTCTTCGCGAAAAATTGGCCGAGTTAGGTAAGAAAGTTTGCATAATTTCAGTAGATTTCCAGCTTGAACATACCCATGTTGCATAGGATATTTAAGCAAAAATAATCGTGCCTATTATGGTATCCGACGAATGCCATTCGCACGGATCTAATCCGAATGGCACTGTCATAACAAGTGGATGAGAAGGATTAGATTCATGAGAATGGGATCCCTCGGAAACAGACCTATTCCGGTCCGATAGATACCATTCGCACGAATCTAATCCTTCGCACTCGCTTATTCCGACAGTGCAAATCTGACTAGATCCGCCAGATACCGTAATAGGCATGAATACAATTTGTAAAAAAAAAAACCATTATTTTTTTTTGATTACTACACCCGGCTTAGAAAAGAAGACTTTTATTTAAAAACCTTCGCTTGCTACCGTAACACCAAACATGTTTCGCATCAGTTGCATATGCTCCTGTGCAATAAAATTTGCGATTAATGCCGTGGGAGCTTCATTTGCTCTTGTTATCTGTTGTTTGATGATTAAACGGAAATCGTCTCGGGAGCCCTTGTCTGTACCTCGTGTGCCAATGCGACAGACGCTTGAACCGGCCTGTGTTGGCGACAGATCGAAAGCAAAATCTTCATCATGTGAATTCCAGATATGCATAAATTCTTCAACAAAATCGATTGTTACTATGTACGTCGTAAATAACCGATATGAAAAAGACCGCCTCGACGTAATAAGTGCAAATATTTGTTCGGCCATAAGTGTTTCCCGTGGATATTCGAGCTGTAGAAGGACCAGCAAATCGCCAAGTATTTCATCCGGACAATTTGGCTCATAGAGTTTCCGCTGAAAGGTATACAATGTTGCATATAAATCATCACTAAGTATTATATTTAATAAAACACTCACACTTAATGTATTTACAATGGCTTTAGTACAGTACTGCACTAATGCTTTTTGTGTTAGTGGTATAAATATCATATGGCGGGGTACTTTTAACGTTAAATGCTCTAAAATATGTCCTGGCGTTGGTGGTAATTCGGCAATAATTTTAACAATGCACTCAAATCCCTGTAACTATAAACGAAAAAAGCTATATCTAACGCGTATGTATATACATACATACGAGTCTTTTATTTTGAAATTGGCATACGTTACTTAAATGATGGTTACTTCTAACTAAATGCACTTGTAAATCGTTCTACTACCATAAAATGACACAACTTTTTTTATCGTTCAGATACAGGGAAATTACTGAAATTGAACGGCATGAAATAGCTTATGCCACACTTTCCAAAAGAAAAGGCTCATATATTAAAACTAAAATAGGATGTAAGCTTTAGTTTACCGTTAAATTCCCTTGGAGCAAATTCAAACTTAATAATTGTAAATTTTGCACTAAATTACTAGTCACCATCATTTCGGACATCAACTTCTTTGCCTCTTCTTTATGACCGAAATAGATAGCTAAATCAAAGAGGAATCGCGATATCCATGCAGCTAGTGGTAATGTAAGTAGCAGTTTACTGAAATCGCGTTGAAATTGGTCCGTGTTTAAAAGTTGCCAACATTGCGCAGCATGAACAAAAGCTTTTGATATATCTTTGCTCATTGGCGTAGTCAATGAGATTTGCGGAGGTTCCATAGTTTGTACATCTGAAGCCTCCACTTTCCAATCAACTGTATTTTCATGTAAATATATTTTAAAATATTCCAAATATGTATGTAATTTTAATTTTTATCTCACCTGTGAAGCCTTCAACCAAAACGTGATTTATATCAGCTTCCTCCGCTCGTGTATAACAATTTTTGATGTAACAGTGCAATGAATAAATGAATAAAGTGGTAGCATAGAAAAGCACTTGAGTACTGCCTGCTGGGCTTATGGATACAATTTCTATAAGTTTATCCCAATAAACATTTTGCCCCCAAGTTTTATTGAAGGGTAAATAGGTTTCCCAACGTAAAATTTTACCGCAGAGCATGAGAACTTGGAAAATCTTCTTCCATATTTCATTGTTATCACATTTGGTAGTATCGTCAATTATTTGGCGTATGTAATACTCCAATGAAATCGTAAATAACCGGCAAACGAGTAAAGGAGGTAGCTCTGGTGTCTTGTGGTAAATTAGAGGCAACGCTTCCTCCACGAGCATTTCTTGATACTTTTGAGGATTTTGCTTCATACCATCTGCTATCATCTCCAGCAATCTTGGCTACATCATAAAGACAACTTAGTAATCGGTGCTATAATTTGAAATATAAACTTACTGAATGAGTGATAGCAGCTTGAGGAAAGCGTTTTAAGATGAGCAATAAAAGCTTGCATTGATGAATACTGTTCTCGGTGTTATTAACTGTTAGAAGTAAGATTTTGTGCTGCACATCATATGAAACATGCTGAAACATTTTCACATAAAATTCTTGTGATGGTGTGATTTCATTTTCAGGTGCACGGAGGGCGTTTGTAAGTTCATTTACTTCATTCCATAACTCAACATTTTGGGTTTGGAAAGACAATACGCTGCAAGGAAATGAATTCAATAAAAGTAGCAAAAATTTAAAATATTTAAACATACATGTTACTAAAACATTTTGCTGCTTCTTCGAAATTATTCGCCTCTTTCTCCAGCTTGTATGCTTCGAACTGAAATCAATGTGGGTTATTATTTGGTGGAATATGTTACACTAGTCATATGCTTACCAGTATGCTAAAATTATTTGGATACAATGTCTTAGCTGTTATCAACCATGCCTTGGCAGATGCACAATCAGTGCTCCTCAGCTTTTGAGCTTGGGACACCAGATACTGTTCATCAGAAACTAACCTCTCCATGAAGTTGAACTTTGATTATGCGGGTATAAAGAATGAATTTGGGTATAGGTCATGAAATTACTCAATAAAATTATTATTTTGTATTATGTTAGCTCCACGACGTATTTTATCATCCTTGCTTTATCTATGTATTCTCTGCCAATGTTTCGGTTATTTTCATTTGCATTTGACGTTTCTATCAAGGCGAATTTATACAAGGTGGTGTTGATGGCGAATTTAGATTTTCGCCGCGATACTTATTAATGTCAAAATGATGTGTTTGTTGTAAACAAGGCGAATTCATATTACAACAAACACACTAGGAGCGTTCCTTATCTCCCAGAAAAAGTCCGAATTAATGAGAGCTCGACTGAATTGTCACTTCTACCTTGTTGAATATGCCTTGCACACAAGCATGTCTAGTACTTTCAAAGAGACACACCTTTTCATACGAACATATGTTTTTCTAAATGTGAAGTACAAATAGTACCATTCAATGGGGTTTCCAGATGACCTCAGAAAACAGAATTTTAAGTTTTTGTTCGGTATATAAAATTTCATGATCAATTGAATCTGATAAAGCCTAAAATGCCATACAGCAGCTTTGGTTTGGCTTGGCTAGCTAATATTATTTTTATGCAAGAAGTATTTGGCCTTTACTGTAGATTTTCTTGAAGAAATACCTTTACGAGCATTTATTTAATGAGAATTGCGAACTGGTTAGGCAATTTCGATATTTTTATGAATTTGTGTTCTTCATGGTTTGTGTTCTTCATGGTTACTATGCCAAAAGCTGTTTTGCGAGAACGAACACATTTTCCTACTATGTACTCAATTTTAGAGGTGGGTAACTCAGCACTGTGCTGAGTTACTGTGCTGACTCTTAGAACTGTGCCGCACGCTCAGACTCACATCTGAAAAAATTTGTAACTCAGTAACTCAGTTTATGTGCTGACAATGTATAGCTCAGTGTGCTACAGAGTCGATATGGTAACTCAGTTGATGTGCTGACACTTGCATAGCTCGGTGCGGCTTGCATTGTTTAGAACTGTGTCGATGTGGTAACTCAATTGATGAGCTGACACATTCACACAATACGATCTTCCAAAAAGTACCATAATAGATGGCATCACTAGACTAACCATCAATTGAATATACGACTACCAAATTTAAAAAGAAGCAAGGCGAATAGCCCAGTTATGCATACTTGCACTGCTATACCATTTTTACGTAAAAATCAAAACCAAACAGAATTCTACATGTGAAGTGCTATGCGTTGGGTAACCGCTTACATGCATAGCCCATTTAACAGATTCTTATGTGACAACTCTCAAGCAATGCTAAGTATGCATAACTGGGCTAGAAGATAATACATACATTATTTTGCAATTTGGAATTATTTTGCAAATGAACTCACCAGTTGAAATCAGCTTTCTAAAATTTTGCCGGCCAGCTACGAACAGAAGCTAAGGATAACCATTTCTAAATCGATTTCGATTACTAACATCATCAATAATTTCGATGTACATACCAATTGTGCGATAGCACACTTGTGCCAGCTCACTGTGCTGACTCATTAAAGTGAGTTGGAGTTACTGAGTCAGCACACCAAAATTTACAGAGTTACCCACCCTTACTCAATTTTATTTTCACTTCAGAAGCCTAGAGAACGTGGAGAAAATTTTCCGATATTTCAAATATCGAAACAAAATATTGTATCGATATCGTATCGCAACACCTGATATCGACATAAATTAACCGATATGTTGAACAACGATATTGATATATTGAATATCGTATCGGTATCGCGAATCCCTAGTAAACAATCATCTGAAAAATCGCGCTTCAGCAAGGGGTATTCATTGTACCTTCCGCCTGAGTAATTTATTGGATTTAGATCAATTAAAATAAATAGAATACTGGCTTAAAATATGAATGCAAATGGATTCGAACAATGGGTAAAAATTAATATAATTGCTTTCTAAAAAATATATA